GTGGAGGTATGATGGAGTCCGGCGCGGTGCTACCTGGCAGTGGTTTGAACCTCACCTGGACGTACGAGCCCTGGTTTCAGCAGATAGCAGAGGAGGCTGGATGTTCCCAAGCTGTCCGCAAGCTGGACTGTCTACGCCGCACGCCATTCACTGTCCTGAACAATATCCTGAACACAACTGCTAACGATACAACGCCTTACAATTGGAGGCCCACGGTGGACGGTGACTTCGTGGCGCGGTATCCCAGCGAGCAACTCGATAGAGGAGACTTCGTCAAGGTACCTATTATAATCGGCTACACTACAGACGAAGGAACTACGGAGTGCCCGGAACCAGTGAACACCACTGCCGAGTTGGAGAACTACCTCAGCTGTATGTACTTTTACCCTTGATCCTCCTCTCCCCGCTGAAAGATTAACCCAGCAACAACAACCTACGGCTGGGCCCTCGACGAGCGAGTCGTATCCGAGCTACTCGAGCTCTACCCCAACACCACCTCCTTCGGCATCCCTTCATCCGAAGAACTCGGCGGCAATGTCACCTTCCCACAGCCCTACGGTGCCGCATTTCGCCAGACAGCAGCATACTACGGCGACGCCCAGTTCATAGCTGCAACCCGCTACACCTGTGAGCTATGGGCAGCACATAACCTAAGTGCATACTGCTACAGATTCAACACCAAGACAGACGATTACAATTGGGAAGAAGGCGTGGCGCATTTCTCGGACTTGATTTTCATATTCAACAACCTTAATGGTTATGGGTTCAGTCCGAATCCGTTTATCGATGCTCCGGAGAGCTATACTGATCTTAGCTACCTCATGTCGGGCTCGTGGATCAGCTTCGTGAATAGTCTGGATCCTAATGCGTGGACTGGACGCGGGCGGAACGCCACTCAGACGGAGAACTGGCCCGTGTATGACCTAGAGAACCCGATGAGTATGATCTGGGATGCAAATGTCACGTCGTATGCGGCGCCGGATACTTGGCGTAAGGAGGGCATTGCGCTGATTAATGCCAATCGGAGGGCATACCAGAGATAAACAGGGGATGATATAGGGAGATAGTATGCCAGTCATCTGACGCACGTTGCGGATCCAAAAAGAACACAATTCATCAAGCATCATTCATGAGTTTGTAACGGTTCTAACCTCGGGTCTGGCCCTAACCCAATCTGAATCCAACTAATAGAAAAGAAGCAAAGAAAAGAAAGAAGAAAGGCTCGTAGTAGAATTAAGCAACGCTAATGCCAGGTCGAGGTTAAGTCCCATACTGACAAGTCTCACGCTATTCACCCGCAAAGATCAGCACAAGAGAAGACTTTTTGAATATAAGACGATAACTCACATATCGGAATTCATTCTAGATGAACCGAAACACTCGAGATTTGCTGTTCGCATCCCACAAAATCAGTTTGATCTTCGGTTTATCTTCTGACATCATTGCGTGACCCCTCAAGGCACACTGACATTCGATATCCCCCATCACAAAGCGGGGTGAATGTGAAACTTTCGCACTCCTTCTGATAATCTTCAAGTGTAATCCATCCTTCACTGGTGAAGCTCATCCGTTTAGCAGTACTGAGATTCTTGAACCCGAGACCATAATTTTTACTGAATGTGCATACCCACATCTGCCGCTCAGAGCGTTAGCAGGGCTGTAGCGAAATCCACTCATCACCATCAGCGTTGAACACATATTGACTTCCAGGATTATTGAACCATAACTTGTAGAGTTTCTGTGTCTGAGGGATAACTGTCATCGTGAAAGGAATGTGCCCGGGCACTGAATGGAGCGATGTCAAGCGAGGCTATGTTGTAGAGATATTTAGTATGAATATAGAGAGAAGGATGAATGTGTACCGGGACGGCAGGGCGTGGTTGGGGACATATTGATCGGATTCCCATGGTTATATATATTACTATCAATTGTAAGACGGGAAAGGTAGACCAGAGGGATAGATGACTCAAAGAGAACACATGCAATGATACCCAAAGCCATTCTGGAAGGATTGTAGTTCCTAGTCTATTTTTACCTATGTTGAACAGACTATTGAACCAGGGTGATGATAAGGTGGCCGCAAGGGTCACGCGATTGGTCGGGCTCAGGGGTCTGCCTATGTTATTCGGTCTCATGTTTTAGTCCGATTCCCAAACAGCCGGGCCGGGGGTGGCATTACACCTCCTGAACAGGAAGGGCCTTCGCCAATCCACCAGCATGGGAAAGAAATTGAATCAGCTGATGAGTTATGTATATATTATGCTCGAGTCAACCTACGTGAAATAAGAGTTGTTGTGGTTGAACGTTTGTAATGATAGTAATATCGATAATAAGAAATCTATAATAAAAGGATGAATGATGGTTGTCATCTCGACTGATCTCCGTGACTCGAAGGTTGGGTATCGATAATGCTGCAAGCGAGCCCAGATTGGAAGGTTAATTCATGCCAATAGAAGTGGTAGATCTGAATGTTGTTACTTAGGGATGCGATAAAGAGGATGTAGTTTGTCGTTCATGTTAGTTGCGTTGGATGCAATCAAACCAAGAGATTTGTCGTTGCAGTGATAGGCACATATTGATGCCGCCTCCGAAATGATGTAGGCTATACAAATTTATATACTCATTAACAGGAGAACTTACCGCAAATTAGATAGCTTCTCAACTGTACATACTGACCTGAGTCTCACCGCAATTCCAATGGACCCTAGAATTTCTCTTATGAAAGTGTGTAAATTCATTTTGCTATATATATGGCTACAAACCTAATATATCAGCTGTAAAAGAAGTGTACAGATTGGATCATTACATTTGAAATGTAGCGGCAGTTCACTCGTTCCCAGCAAGCCCAAGGTCTTTCATGATGATCGTAGCAGCCTTCTCACCAATAGCATAAGCAGTGGTGGCCGCATTCGCGCCAATGTTCTCAGGAACAATACTCAGGTCCACCAACTTCAAGCCCTCAATCCCATGAACATTAAGCTCGGGATCAACCACGCCGCCATCAGCAAAAGCGCCCATCTTGCAAGTGCCAAGTGAGTGCCAGGTGGTGCCGACATTCTTGCGCACCCAGCCCTCAATGACCTTGTCGTCCTCCGCAGTGTATTGGATGTCGGAGATGTTCTTGTCATTCGGCTTGTCCAGCCTGACAAGGGCGGCGGCCGAATTCTCAGCGAACGGCGGATGCATGCCCGCAAACTCGCCGCGGTAAACGCCCATTCTGCGCACAATTTCTCGCTGCTTCTTGTACGCCCAGATGAGCTTCTTGACATCCAAATTACTTTTCAAGAATCCAGTCTCAAACGAAATATCCGTATCGGGATCGGGGCTTGTGATGTGGACGTGACCTCTGGCGTACGGGTAGACAGTGAACAATGACGTCGCGAGGTATTGGCCTGGCTCAATGGTGTGTGGCTCACCAGGGAAGCCGCCCAGCAAAGCCATTAGCGCCATGGGCTTGTTGGGTTTGGAGCGATAATCTCTTGCGTATGCCGCCTCGAATGCGGGTCCAAGAGCAGTGACATCCGCTTCGGTGGGACGCAGCTTGCAGGACGCATCTTGACCATTCCATCCCATGATTGGCGCATTGGTTTTGATTAACTCTTCCATGTTGATTCTACCGGCAAGAGGGGCGTCAAACGTCTCGGTTGGCTCCAAGGCACTGTAGTATGCCTGGATCAAGAGATGATGATCCTGGTAGTCCCGGCCGATTCCGGGGATATGGGCCACAGCAGGAACTCCAGCCTTGTTAAGAATGGCCTCGTCGCCGAGACCAGACCTCTCGAGAAGCAATGGGGTCCCAATAGCGCCACAGGAACTAATTACTAGCTTTCTGGCCTTGACGCATCGAATATCGGTGTTGTCTTCCTTTTGGAAGGCAGGGTTTGGCTTGAACTCAACACCCACAGCTCGTTTGCCCTCGAACAGAATCTTGATCACCTTGGTCTCAACGAGAACGTGGAGGTTTGGGTGTGCTCCATCTTCCAGCTTCGGATGCAAGTAGTTGCTGGCGGCATCCTGGCGGCGGCCCTCCTTGTCAACAAAGCGGAGGGCGCGTTGAACGCCGTTGCTGGTGTCTAGGTCTTGAAGATCCTTGACCGTCGGGTAGCCGACCTCGTTGGCGGCAGCAATGAATTGCTCTGCCGTACGCTCAGAGTAGAACGTTCCCTCAGACACAACAATAGGGCCATTCTTTCCATGAACAGAGTCAGGGCCCGGACCGTGATACGTCTCGAGCTACAATGAGTAATGGAATGTTAGCCAACACTGTAGTCAAAATTGACAATGCCGCAGAGTTCACAGAGTGCAGCTTAAACGATTCGATGACATACCTTTTTCAAGAAGGGGATCATCTCATCTGTAGACCATTCTGGAGTGCCCCACGAATCCCAATCATGGCGTTGAGCACGACTGTACATCATTAAGTTGATTGACGATCCTCCGCCCAGAACACCACCTGCTGGGACGATCATTTCGCGATTGTCCAACTGCGGCTCCGCATTTCCCTTGTAAAACAGGGTTGCGGTACTGGTCGGAAGCATTGCAGTTGGAAAAAGGAGTGGGAACGCAATCAAGTGGTTGCCCTTATTGTTCTGCCCGCCCTCGACTACGAGGATGGACAGCGAGGGATCAGCATCGGCGAGTCTGGAAGCAACGACACACCCCGCGGTACCGCCTAGGAGAGATCGTTAGTATAGATTTATGATTAGCAGATGAGTAGATGAACAAACCGCCGGCGATGATAATGTCGACCTCGTCGATGCTTTCGGGGAGCCGAGTGTAAATGCCCATATTGTTGAATGTGATGGTACGGTGGAATGTGATGGTGACGGAACGAACTGGGCGCAGTGGATGGGATCACACTATGTTTAATAGCTCCGGGTCGGTTGCCCGACTAGCAGCAACCCCACGGGACTTTTATGACGCGTGGATCCCTGTAAGTCTTGGGTGCCAATCACTTGGATTCTTGGACAAGGCTGACTGAGTTGTTACCCACTACTACTTGCGGCCAGCAACAGGCGGGCGTCTCAGATGTGGCTCTAGGGTTGCGGGGCTGGATATATAGCGCCCCCAGCTAGTAATGACTAGGTTCGTCTAGGTAACATTACGCTACGCCGTGTAAAATGGTCCCTAGTTTCACTGTGCGATATCTCCTCCGTAGCATGGTTGATAAGAACAGAGGTAGCGATGCCCAGTGACAAGGCTAGACCACCCATCTGCGCACAAGAGAAGAACGCCGTAACGTCCCTTCTTGTCGCCTGCGGACGCTTCAACTGGCCCACGGTATAGCCAAGCTGAATGACTGGCCCGACCCCAAACCCCTCCATAATGGTGTATCCACAAATAGTAGCCCTGGAGGTGTTTGTGTGAATGCTGGACAGCAGGCCGTTGCTTACAAGGAGCAGGACACTGGCCCAGATGAACCAGCACTTGTACCATGGGAACTTGGGCAAAAGTCCCCCGCTGATGCCTGCACTGACCACAACAGATGCTACAATGGCAGCGTATAGACTGCAGAACGCATCGAAGAGTCATGCAGCACAAACTGGAAAAACAGCGGAAGCGTGTAGATGGTGACAACGATGTCAGACATTGCGACAATTGTCCAGATCCACAAGCCAACCACTAATGGATCCTTGAAGAACTGCACGGGAAAAATGCGATCCGATGTGAAAAGGTGGAATTCCTGCTGCAGAGCAAACAGGATCCATAGCACAGCAGTAGCAACGTAAAGTCCGATCATCTGACCGCTATCCCAGCTGTACACGACGCCGCCAAAGCCCAGAAGCATGACTGTCGACACGGCAGAGCCAAGAAATAGCACAGCACTTACATGGTCAAATGCCTTAATCACGTTCATGAGCCCCAATGACACGCTGGGTGGCGCCGAAGGCATGATCCAGATACACGCGGGGGCGGCAACAGCGGCAACGCAGATGTTGATATAAAAAGCCCATCTCCATGTTGCAGGCGAATCGGCGAAGGCAGATCCGATAATGGGACCAAGAATGGTTCCCAGGCTCCACGCCATGCCGACAATGGATGAGATACTGGTTTTGTTCTTTGGCAGTCGTCATCCCGGTGATCATGCTAATGGTGCCGACATAGATGCCATAGCCGCCGGAGCCAGCCAGAGCGCGACCCCCGACGACAGCGCCAATGGACGACGCTGAGCCAATAACCGCAGATCCTACTTCGAAGATAAACAGGGCTGCAAGAAAGACAAATTTGCCGTTGAGGAACTTGTTGAGCTTCGCCCTGTGAACAGAAGTGTTGGTAGTCGGTTCGCCAAATGCGCTTTGCTGCTTGATTATCTCACCAGATAGGATTGGTGCCAATTTCACCCATTGGGTATGCCACTGAAACCCATGGTAGCATGTCTATGCGGTTGCCAAATGTGTCGACAATGGCAGGCCGCGCCGTTGCTGTCACGGTATTGTCGAAGGCATAAAGAAAAGTCGCCGACAGCAGGGCAACGTTGACAACAAACCACGCAACACCTGTGATCTTGCGCTCGATCACAGCACCGGCAGACGCAGACGGGTCACTGGCAGTGGAACTCTGTAGGGGCTTTTCAACATGGTCACTTATCGACGAAGCAGCTGTCTGTCTCGGCGGCATGATGGAGGTACACTTCTGGCCAACTGGTCCGTCTGTAGTCGCATCCCAAGGATTTAAGCCTGGGAAGGAGAGTGGGCTGGACTTGAGCAGCCCTGCTAACCAGCTTGCGAAGAGAACAGAGAATTCTCTAGTGTAACAGAAGATCAGTACACCATGTAACGGAGTAACTAACTAACAAAATAGTGGGCAGCGCTCGTTATCTCCATCATCATAGCCTTGTTACGCCACATCCGTCCGCAGACGGGAGCGCAGGGAATAAGGAGTTCGCTTGTGTAAATGTAGATCAGAACATATAAAAGGCATGAACAACAACTACTAAAGTAGCCAATTAAGAAGTTACTGGACAGCGCTCTTTATCACATCCTTGTTGAGCCCCACCCCTTTGCGCTAGTCAAGCTGCCGGCGCATTGCAATCAACTGATTGTGGGGATACTCCGTATTTCTCGTTGGTGACAGTTTTCTTGTAATTGCGGACAAACACTCACGTGTAGGGGCTGAAAAGCCAATGTTCCAGTACTCAATGTGCACATCCTGGTTGGGGGTAAGAATATCTCATTGTAGCCCTAATGAAACAAAGGGATGCGTTCTGTACTCTCAGCGCACAGATCACCGAGCACACCCGGTTGTTCCGGCCACAACCCAACTATAACCCATTACGGTTAGCGCTTACTGACCGCGATTCAACTTAGTATAACCTCATAAATTGCGGTTCTTTGTTCCACACTTGGCGCCGATGCCGAATCAAGTAGGAGATATACAGGCGGGCCGATAATGCTGATCTTTACCTTGAATGGCGCACTTGGAGTCCAACGTCACCGAGGTCAAAGGAGGGCGGGCGCGAGATAAAAGGACCCAGACAGGACAGGGGACCGCATCCCCAACGGAAGAAAAGGCACTAACATGAGTAGTAGTGGCTCGGTTCACACACAGCCGTTTGCCTGGGGGGTAATTAGCCTAGACAGCTCGCTAAAATCGGGCAGCATTGCGCGGCCGCAAGAATTGAACAGCCTAGCGACGGCTAACTCGCAATCCGTGGTCCAACATTGTGATAACACCCTCTTGCTCAATATTAGACGATGTGGAATGGTGGAATAGGTCGACAATGCAGTGAAGGAGGTCCGGAATAAATGAATATTAACGGACCTCAAAAAAAAGAAATAAAAGAAAAGAAAACAAAAATACCCGAAAAAGTACACTGTTTTCCATTTCCGCATGCCGAATCTCAAATCGTGAAAGTCGTCGCCAATAAAGAACGATTTATGTGCAACGCTAACGAACCATGAGCTCGTTGATCATCATGCCAACGCCCTCTCGCGACCAGCCATTGCCCATGTCAATTATTCCATGTCCCATTCAAATACTCAGCCTGCTTACTTGGAGATGCTGTAGATTTGTGGTGCTGTCTTTCCCGAGGCTTTTTTTCTATATGCTACGGTCTACGCCTTGTTTGTTCTCTGAATCTCAGTTAAGGTAACTGAAAAACAATACACTTCGTCAAATCTCATGGTATATGTCCGAGCAAGGTAACTGAAGGGTACCTTGCGACTAGAAGAGGGCTTTGCAGTCAAAGGTATCCTAGAGTAAGCTGTAGGCAATCAAGTTTATGCTAAAGAGGTGAAATCAACATTATATGTGTCTCCAGTCTCCTTAAGGATGCACAGGGGGTCATGAAGGGGTAATTAAGCTGCTTCTGTCACAGCTTGGACGGAACGGAACATACTCCCTTACTTCTGCGATCGTTTACTTTGGATTAGATTAAGCTTCCGCCTTTTAACTTAAAACCATGCTGTCACTTTTATCCCTTCCATGAAGGGCGGAAGATTAGTTATATCATGCTTGCACAATATATGAAATGAATAGCATAACGCTTGCTGGACACTGTAAAAGCGACAAAGCTCTAGCCAGGACACCCTAGCTTGACAGAAAACCTGAGTCCCCTTATGAAAGCGGGTTCATTTTGGGAATTCGGTACCCTGGAAGTGGAGCGCGAGAATGCTGCGATATGGGAAAAGCACATCTCTAGGATTACAAATAAGACCCATTGAGTTCTAAGGTACAAGAACAACCAATAAAAGGAAATTGATGCAAGAATTGGATGAACAGCTAATCCCGTTTATAGCTTCCTACTGTTTACTTCGACACCTTTCATTATCCATACCACAACTTCATCCCTCATCGAGCTAACAGATTTTTTTGTCGCTACATGCCGTCATTAACAGCTTTCCCGCGCCCCAAAATGGTCAAATGGTCTAGGAGGAGTAGGCATCTTCTGCAGAAGCAAAGGCGTTGTCAATGTAAGTCTTGACTAAGGTGGTTTGGTCGCTAAGAGAAGCCGGTTCGTTTGTTATCAACGCATCAGCGGAATTGTCGAAGGCCGTGTGGAGAGAGCGGAGATCGCTAAGAACGAGATCTGCTCCACCTGGGACATTTGACCAAGAAGTTGCTTGATCTGCTAGGGTAGTTAAAATGCTCAGGAGATTTCCGATGACCGCTTGGACGTCGTTAAGAATAGCGGCTCCAGTTTCATCATCCAAGGAGCCGGCGTCGTTGGTATCGGTGGTTGCATAATTCACCGAATAAACAAGATTCTGGAAATCGTCGTGGATAGCCACAGCTCCCGCCAAACCACTAGCAGGGAAAGTTCTAACGTCATTGCCGAGGGCTGAAATTCCTGGGGCGATTCTTTGGTTTATATCGTCTTCGACTGTGATTGCATTGCGGCGAAGGATAGGGGTAGCGGCAGCAGTTAGAGCCAGAGTGAGAAGTTTGGCGATGAGTACCATCTTTGGTGGTGAACGTTGATGACGGTTAATAGTGCCGAGGTTGTGACAGCCAAGGAGATGGAAATAGGGTTTTCAGGGACGTTATTGAGGGCTACCTGTGCTCTATATATGATGCGATGGGTCGAGTAAAGGTAATACGGTGATATGAGGCAATTAATAATTACGCATACATAGCGCAGCTAGCTTCATTTTGCATACTCGAACTTGCCTAGTAACTAACCATCCCACTTCTTGAGTACCCCTATCTCAAGAGGAAGAAGGATGTAAATCATTCAGCACACTCTGCTAAGAAATGCTAGCCTAAGCTCAGGGCTGGCGCAACACGGTATTGTATTGGGCCTCCACAAGCGGATGTACATACAGCCCAGTGCGCTATTGAATTTGGCAGTAGGCCTGGATGGTCATCCTCGCCCGGAATTTATGTAAGTTAGGGATTATCTTAGAAAGGAATCTATGTAAGCAAGGGATGCGTGTATGAAGCCGAAGACAATGACACAGTATGCCACTGGTGGCAGTGGAAATTGAAAGTCCCTGCATGATGCAACACCGTGAAAATGCATATAGTAGGTCGATCGGTCACGCTCATACCTTCTTCCATGTTGTTTTTAGTTCTTACTAGTCAGAGACCTGGTTTAATTGGTGGTGTTTGTCAAAAAACGACCTCAGAAAGATCAAATGTCTTACTACTCGATCACCTGTCCGATAGTAAAGCTGTAAATATTTCAATATCTGTATTAAGGCTGAATATATGTCTAAGATTCCTTATTTCTTAAAATGTACTAATACTTATAATAGCTTGAAGCTCATCAGAGGTAGGTTGGTCTGTCAGCGGCAATAAGGTAAGTTATAGTGTAGTGAGCCCACAGACGAAACCAATTGGCTCTATTAGAACCCCAGACTGGTGGTGTCGGATAATATCTCCGTAGATTCGGGCTGCTTCGTCAGCAAACCATTAGAGAGCTTGCTGCAAAGAGTACCTCCCCGGTTGCATCCAGCTCAGCCGTCCCGTTCTCCACAATAAGGATACGGGATAACCCTTTGTTGTTCTCAGGAATCAACTTACTATGGGCGAAGAATCCGATGACCTTCCCATTTGCAGGATCTGGTGTCAACCACTCATCACCTGGTCAAAAGCTGCATGAAAATACAGTACCTATATTGGGCTTACATGTTTCAATTATATTGAAGCACTTTTCCGAAGCTGACTCTACCCACTGACCGTTAACATATTTCTCCCCAACCAATAGGAAGGGCTGTCTAAGGAGGATTCGACAGAACATAGCTCCGAGTACATGCAATGAAGCTTGTGAAACGCTTAAAGCAACCAAGCGAGTGGAGAATGTATGAGTGATCATGAATAATTATTTATAACCCCATGTTGTCGCCCAAGGACGCCAGGTGTATGCAGTGGTACATGAACAATGCGGTGAGCTACGTTACTGCGGAAGTGGGGTTCCCCAAACTGCCATTTCGGAAGGCGAACCCAAATAAAGTCCGAACCCTATTTAATCCCGGAATTGCTTACTATTCTGTATAACTGGGCATACAGTGAACGAAGTGGCAAGCGATGTTAAATTGAGCCGCAGGCGCACCATATCGATGAACACGTACTCAAACTCAGCCATGCATGCCTAGAGAGCGGACCCATTCCCGTCCCACAGCATGAAGGGTATGCAAACGCCACATTAGCGTGGCTTGAGATCCAAAACCGCCTCCTCGCTTGACTTTAGTGAATAAGTATCTTCGTCTATTGTTACAGATTTGTCGCAACACTTCAACGGGCTTGATATAGCCGAGATTATTTGACCGGCATTCCCGGTCGTCCGAAGCTTCGTGGTCCTGCTCTTTTTGGCAATGAAAATCTAGCTGATTAGATTTAGCGGGTAGCCAAACCTGCTTCGATCCATGGTAACTATCCGAACGAGCAAGATATAGTTACTCAAGACGCCCTGATTGGTGGCTTGCTGCTCCGATGGCTGGGCCCGATGGACCACCGGCAGTTGTCAAACATTTCAGCCAGCTCAAATGCCTCAAAAGGCAGATGCTAGTAGGTAGCAGCTAGTTCTGATTACACCCTCGTTCTATTCGCTTCGAAAAACTCAACACTCAACACAATCACTACGTCCTCCCTGTCACCACACGATAAAGGGGATACGTATTGATGTATTATACTAAACTAATATTCAGTGAGTCGCCACCCGCCCATTATAGACGGCCTTTTCTCGCTCTCGGAGAATACAAGTAGACTACTAATCGTCTGCTCTAAGATGGCCTAGATGCCTTAACTCTCCATGGGCAGAGGCGGGGATGTCAGGGGCGATCGCCTGGAGTGGAAGACCGGAAGCTGGTTCCATGTCAAGTCGCACCAATGAATGGCAGCGCAGTGGAAGCGTCAATGAGTGGTTCTGCTGCCGGTAGCGTTTCCGCCACTCACAGTGACTTTTCTTCCGCCACGCGATAAAGACCGACAAAAGAAGATAACTCCATTCTCTCCCTTCTTCTGCCTCTCATGTCTGTTCAAACGAGTCGCAATGTTTCTCGACGGCCAAGTGGCCGCTCTCTCTCTTGATGAGAAGCTCGCGACATCAAGCAGTGTACCTCTGCCAGACGATGACTCTCCAGTGGTGTCTCCCTCACTCGCATGCATCTATCGCCATACCCCGACGCCGACCATCGTCCTCGATTCATCCATGACCATTGTAGAGGTCTCTGATAGCCATCTCGCTTTATCCGGCAAGACGCGCCAATCTTTGCTGCATGCGACCGTTCGTGACCTCGACCCAGCTGCCGTGCCCGCTCCTAACATCGCTATCCTCTGTGGCGCACTGCGTGCAGCTTGCTCAACGAAGGAAACCCAGATAGTGGAGAGAATTGTGTCCAGCGACAAATCTTTATACAACCTCCGAGTTACTCCCATCTTCGACGCATTTACTCTGCTGTACATTGTATTGGAGGCGCACAAGCTTTCCGAGGAGACCGCCAGCGTTAATCATGCCTATACAAACGAAACTTACAAAATCCTCGTGGATACCGTTAAAGAATACGCCATTTTCATGCTCGATACGCAGGGCAATATCACGACCTGGAATCCCGGCGCTGCAATCATGAAGGGATGGCCAGCAGAGGAGATCCTTGGCAGACATTTCTCTGTCTTTTATAGCCCCGAGGATCGCCTGGCTGGAAAGCCCCTCCGAGGTCTTGCTGTATGCTTGCGCGAAGGCCGTATGGAAGATGAGGGTTGGAGGTATCGGCGCGATGGCTCGCGATTCTGGGCCAATGTGCTTATCACTCCCATCTATCAGTTCGGGCAGCACGTTGGTTTCGTCAAAGTCACCCGCGATCTCAGCGAGCGCAAAGAAGCTGAGGCCCGCATAATTGCTGCTTTCGAGGAGTCGTCACGCTTAAAGACCGACTTTCTCGCCAATATCAGCCACGAAATCCGGACTCCGATGAATGGGATGAAAATTGCCATGACGATGCTGGCTGACACGAGTCTATCTCCGGCACAGCTCGAGCATGCTGCCATCATTCAAGACTGCATGTCAATCTTGCTCGAGACCGTGAACGACGTCCTTGACTACTCGAAACTTTCATCTGGCTCTTTCTCGCTGCACTCCGACGTGGTAGATGTCAGCGATGTGGTCGGAGCCGTCATACGAAATTGTCGCCCGGCGTTGAAGAACGGTGTCGAACTGACCATGGACATTGCACCTGACTTTCCCAGAAATCTTCGAGGAGATCCCCTACGATATCGCCAGATCCTGCAGAACTTGGTCGGCAATGCAGTCAAGTTTACCGAGAGCGGCCATATCCGGGTCTCCACAGCGTGCTCTCCGGATGAACAAGAGGAGGGATGTTGCATCGTGCGTACAGAAGTCGTCGACACCGGCATTGGTGTTCCCGACAACGCAATGAACACCCTCTTCACCCCATTCACCCGCTTTGCCAACTCGACCACTCGACAATACCAAGGGACTGGATTGGGCTTGTCCATCTGCAAAAGTCTGGCCGAACTTATGGACGGAAAAGTGGGATACTCTCCAAACCCGGATGGCCAAGGCAGTGTCTTCTGGTTTACTGCCAAATTGGGAGATCGATCTAGCACCGCGTCACTCAAGCCCCGCAGTCCTGCATTAACGCCCGTGGGCCAAGATCTTTGCGATAAAATGCGGGCCATTGCGCCCCACAAACATGTCTTGTTGGTTGAGGACAACATGGTCAATCATACCATGATGCTGAAACTCCTTCGCAGCATCGGCTTCACGCGGGTGGATGGGGCATGGAATGGCGCCGAGGCACTTTCTAAGATTAAGAAGAAGCCGCTATCCTACAACGTCGTTTTGATGGATGTCTCCATGCCCATCATGGACGGCCTTGCCGCCACGGGACACATCCGCGATATGGGACTCCAAATGCCGATTATTGCAGTCACCGGGAATGCTATGCAGGGCGACGCCGAAAGCTACATTGCCAAGGGCATGAGCGATTGCATCGGCAAGCCGGTTCACCGAGATCAACTACTGAGTGTTCTGTGGAAGTGGATTGGATCATGATAAGAGATACGGGTGTGAACTTGTCTGTTATTTGCATAAGCGCAGCGCAGAGTACGGCGTACTGGGCATATAAACAATGGGTCTATCTATTTCATATGTATTGCTTTTGTCACTGGTCTGGTTTCGGGTTTTCTTTCCATCTTCCTTTGTGTTTTGTTGTTTTTCTTTTCTGCTTTGTTCACTTAGCCTTTCAACTTCTTGCAACCTTACACACTTTACGGTTCGAATATATATGATAACATGATGTTTATGAAGCCAGAAATTCTTAAAATCCCTCTTTTGGCATCTGGCCATGTAAGAAGGAGACCTGGAGTAGTATCTGTCATTCTATAAAGCCTACCCTCATTTCTAGCAAACACGTACAATGTTTGTTATTTCTCCCTTCTGTGCTCTGCCCTCCAAACAATTATGCTTCTTACTGAGAACACCTTTTACTACTTTACTTTCCTCCAAAATACTTTATGCTTCTTTTGTACGCATATAACCAAACCTCTTGCATATTCCGTACGTAGTACATTCCCATCGACTCAGACACGGTCTATTCTGCCACGGCTAGTAGTATCTATATCAATGTCTCTTGTCTATAGTAGCAATATGCCGTCTATCCCCATAATCTAAGTTCTAAAACTGAACCAATCACCCCAAATGATATATCTAACCCCATTTACACATCAATACAATCCCAATAATCCTCATGCGTCGACACTCCAGTCTGCGTCCAATTCGCCTGTTTCGGGTACCTAACCAACAACCCCCAATTAGCAAACCCTTCTATCAATGGAAGTAAAACGATAACTTACGGGCAAATCTTCCGATTATGAAGCAGCGTAGTAGGATCCGCATTATCCTCAAAGTTCGTGGTAACCATATACGACGGGGCATGACCACCCTCTACCCAGCTGATCAGCGTGAGGAAAGAGTCATGGACGTAGTTGTCGACGACGTTGGCGGGGGTGAAGTTGAAGAAGTTCCCGGCTTGGTAAGGCCCGGCTAGGTACCATAGGGCGGACATGCAGGTGGGGGTGCCGGTGCAGTGTCTATCTTTGGTTAGTCATCTTTGATGGTTGTCGTGGGGGGTTTGAGTTGGGAGATGAGGGCAAGAGGCTCACTCTAATCCCGGAATCAAGTAAAGCTGATAATGTTGGTCGATGTCGATGCCTTTCTCCAACGCAGCATACGTGGCTTTGTGGTGATAGTAAACGCTGGAACCAGGAGACACGACCGAGTCCGACATGCCGTGCCAGTGGAAGAATTTCCCGCCCCTGTTGAAGAACGGCGACAGGTCAAAGTCGTCTGCGTTTGAGTGGGCGGGATTACGCGCGTCCGCCTCGGCGATGAGTTCGTATGTCAGGTCCTGGGCTGTGAGGTTCTTGAAGCCGAGGACGTTCTGGATATACCATGATTTGGAGTGCTGGTTGCCGAAGGTAGTGTTCCAGGTGGGTTCGCTGCCGAACCATGCGCCGGGGTAGATGAGGTCTTGGTCAAAAGTGGTCCAGTCATTGTAGATCTTGCGGAGGGTATCCAGTTGTGGTGCGGTCAGGCAGTTGGATGTTTTGTTACGGCTGCAGGCTAGTGCTTCGGGGTTGAAGAAGCAGCCTTGTGGGGCCGAGATGATGGAGTCCGTGAGGTTGTCTTGGGGATCGCATTGGCGGAGGACCTCGTCCGTGATGACTGGGTATAACGAGGGTGGGATTGAGGAGTTTGATTGGGGTGCGCCGCCGATTGTTGTCTGCTTGTAGTTGTAGAATGCTTGGTGTGTCATCCACCAGTTCGGGGCACCCGCCATAGCACCATCGTAGTCTTCGGGGTATGTCTGAATGGACTTCATGACTTGTCGGCCTCCGTCGGAGCATCCGGTGATGTAGCTGTATTTGGGTTCGACGTCGTACCAGGCCTTTACGATGGCTTTGGCGGTAAGGGTAGATAGGTGCAGTGCTCTGTGACTCCAGTCGATGAGACCATTGGGAGTCTCCCAGCCTGAAACGTGGTCCGGCTCGTCGTGACCAGAGTTAGAGGCAAATGTGGCAAAGGCGTAGCGCAGGCCTGCACTTGCTACGCCCCATGAGAGCCCAGAGTCGGGGGCTGCCATCCTAGAGGTCGTTAGTGAGGAGTCGAGTTGGGGGTGCATAGCCTTTATACATACATGATACTGCCGTTGAAGTGGGTAGGAAGAAGTGCTCCTAAGCCCCAAGTCGCGCCCTGTTCATTTGTTCCGTTGACTCGGAACGCACATACAGTTGGGATATCGGTGGTAAACGTCGAAGCGCCAACATAGTCGGTGAACTCATCCAGAGTTTCATTGCTGTCAATGTAAAAAGCGTACGGAACACTCAATGTGGTTCCATTGAGCCCTGGAAGCTTGTTTACGAAGGCCTGCAAGCCACTGGTGGTGCAATTGGGCGCATTGACTGCCGCGTAGGTGGTGGCGTTCTCGTAGGCGCAAATATCACCTGCAGGCAAGCTGCATTTAAATTGCGCACTGGCAACGGCTAGAAGTGATGCCCATGTCGCAAGGGCTAGTGAGAGACCCATGTTGGAGAAGATGGATGATCAGCAGAGGCTATGTCTATCCTGTCATCCATGGTGATGGGAAGCGCATTTATAGCTGACTTCGTTTCCGGACTTGGTCAAGTCATCTCGGGAGCCCGTCGGGTCTGTCTTGCTCCGGGAGGCATTTTGAAGCCTCATACATAGAAAGCTGTCTGATCTTCTTGCAATGACGCGTGTGGCGTTTCGTCAAATCCGTCATTTCCCCTGAAGATCCGAAGCTTAGCACCCACCTCGAGACGAGCCTGTCACAGCTCTATTTAAGTACCTTCCAGTACTCACGCCATCTTACAGAGATCGCTAGAGGAAACCTGATGTGACAAGTTTCTTAAGACTTGGCCATACAATGTCGTCTTGGCAGCCTATTCTTAGGGCATAATTCATGTCCCTTACTTGCAAGGGTAGATAATTGCCGGTCAAGAACAGGTCGGGGATATTTGGACATTCCCCACCCGAGGATCGACGATATGGATACTTGCCGATTCTCAACGAACCCGCCCCACGGACCAACGCGTCGTGTCCACTTGAACCGGCATTAACTTGCGGAGATTAAACCCCATTAAGCGTAGGCAATTTATCTTGTTCAAATCAAGCCTGCGCTATGAAGCTTGGCCTTTCCCTTACCCACCGTCCCTATCATATCATGGACGGGATATCAGTAAATTCAAGGAGGTTCGCTACTAGGCAGCAACCGGAGATCTCTGATTAAGTGTATCTGGTAGACTAATTGACCCTTAGGGCTACCCCCAAAACTTGGCAAGGACTCCAGTGGGTCATGGACTCTGCCCTATTGCGCAGAGACCTTGAGAAACATAACTCGAAGATAAGACAATGACGTGTGCCATCACATTTAATTTGCTCTAAATGGGGACCACCACCTTTGACGGGTTCCATAGAAGGCATTGGCATCTTTGGTTGGTTATTAAGTCATGTACCACTGCCAGTCGATGAAGCTTAGGCAGCCCACTATGAAAAGCTTGGCCCGCAGAAATTTCTCCACACTTTCTTCTGCAATTCTAAGTTAGATACCGTCTCATTTAAGGTCTATATATCTTTTCTAAAAGCAACAGAGATGCCTCCAGTAATCATCGCGGGTGCCGAAAACTAATGGAAATAAAAGATGACATCGATCTGACTACGAAGCCGGAATGCTATCCGACCCGATGATACATGTGAGGGGGCATTATAACTTAGATGAGAACAAAAGTAAACTCCGGGATGGTAAGGACTCCTTTGCCTTCTTGCTACACTCCTAAGCTATTCTTGATAAACCATTCAGGTTTATTATAGCCATTGTGCGCCATAATGTCCACCTCTGGCTGTAATATCCTCTCCAACCCCTCCTTCGAGACAGGCTCTCTTTCGCCATGGTTCACCACAGCCTCAGATATAGCCCGAGTCACGACTGCCACCCCCGCCTACACTGGCACTTACTCACTGTATGTCTTCTAGCATCTGCATTCATCTCAGTCTCTAATGTATATAACAGCGACCTCACAACTGCCATCGACAACAGCCCCAATTCCTTCTCCCAGACCCTGTCTAGTCTCAACCGCAGCACGACCTACGACTTCTCCGTGCAAGTCAAGCCCTCAGTGTCCGGAGCGGAGTTCTGCCATATTGCCGCGTACCTAGGATTGAACACAACTAGTGATACTATTGCTACCGCTCATCTCGAACCTAGTGATCAGTGGACCGCTGTAACCGGGGAGTTCACGGCCAATCGGTCCGCAGATGTTTTGACAATCAGTGCGGCGTGCACGTCGCCTGACAATTCGTACACTTGGCAAGTGTACTTTGATGAGGTTGTTGTGGAGAAGAGCGGATGCAGCGACTGAATCAGACTGGGACTTTTGAGAAACATTCTGTAGTAAAACCTGCCCAGCTTAGTGCGTCGAGTGTTCCATGCAATTCCCATACCCAAGACATTCGTGACATTTAACCACACACCCCTCTATTCCAATGACACAAGAATTGCCTACAGGGAACTTATAATATAGTATACTAAGTGATGCGTACATCCGGCGTCAGTACTATTTATACTCGTCTGCAAAATGTCATTTTCCATTTGGTAAGCCTGTTCAAGCGAGACGATCGCTATTGATGCCTGAGGCGGATGAGGCTTCGGCCTTATCGGTTGTATCGGGCCAACATCGCTTACGGCCGATCCCCAAACCTTTTCCAGACCAACCTCGCTGGCCTATCCTGCAGTTGTGTCGCACTGAAGAGTAGCCGGCCAACCTAGGACATTCTTCGATCAGAATCTTAGTACAATGACTAGCCCGGGCGTATCCAATACAAGGAAGCGCAGACGCCCGGCGTATTCATGTGTTTCGTGCCGCCGTCGCAAAGTCCGATGCGACCGGGCCAACCCGTGTCGACAGTGTGTGACCCAGAATATTGCTTCAACCTGTACATATGAGCAGAATCACAATGCGCGTGCCGGTCGTGAAACGGTGCTTTCTACTACCAACGAAACGAATCATCAAAGACAAAATGTTTCTCAAGAGAGTAATAGTGGCCAAGCCTCACACACGCCTCACGCTTCATCGCAACAGGCTGCATCCACCTCGGGCCAGATCCGAGGCATGGTGTCAAAGACAAGAGTGTTCGGGCAGGGACATTGGATGAATATTTTTTCATTGGTAAGTTGACTCACACATCAAACCTAAGCTTGTATTAACGACGTTACAGACAGAAGGGCTGCCCAGCTTGCAGCCTCTCATGGGCCTCTACGACACCATCATACGGAATACAAGCCACGGCCCCTTCGATGCCATTGCTGATAAGATCGCTCAATGCAAAAGGCTAGCTCGAAGCATCAAAAGTCAGAGGCCAAGTCGTAGTAGCCTCCCGACACAGATCCATCAGTCACTTCCGTGTTCCGATATCGTCCTTGAACTGACCCAGCTCTATTTCGCCTCGTTCGAATCGTGCTACCGGATACTTCAGAGGACTTCCTTCATGAAGCATTGCCAGACATACCTGAATAACCACGAAGACACAGATACTTGTATAGTCTTGCAAATCTTTCTCGTGGTCGCTATCGCCGGTCCCTTGCATCAGGATAACAATGTCCGTGTAGATGTGGCGTCAAAAGCTGGAATGTGGATTCATACAGCCCAGACATGGCTCTCAGCACCACTGGAAAAGAACCGCTTAACTTTGGGAGCCATCCAACTCCACTGTCTTCTTCTCATAGCCCGCCAAGTGAATCAGGTTGGCGCCGATTTGATCTGGATCTCCACAGGCTCATTGATGAGGATGGCCATGCAGATGGGTCTGCATCAAGATCCCAACTGTCTGCGCGAGATGGAGTTCACAGACAAAGAACTGAGGCGGCAACTCTGGTACACTATTCTAGAACTGAACTTACAGTCATCCTTGGATTCCGGAATGGTACCAATGATCGCAACTGGAGACTGGAATACTGAACCGCCAAGCGATCACAGCCTCGAATCCGAGCCAGAGATAGGCGAAGAGGAAGAGTCAGTGGCTCGTAAGCCACCTAATTTTCAACCAATACTGTCAAAGTCAATCCCAGTCCGTCTGCATGCCTCCAGACTCATAAACGACTTGCGAGAGGAACCGCCCTACAATGAGGTCCTTGAAATCGGTAAAGAACTAGCCTCAGCATGCCGCGACATCTCCGTCACTCTTGACCAAATTGACTCATTATCCCCATTAGATCAGTTCGCATCCAGCTTCTGCACCCATCTGATCCGACGCTATACCTTGTGTCTGCACTACAAGTTTGCCATCCAGGCAAGGGTTAATCCTCTATACAGTTACTCCCGCAAGGCCGGTGTCGAAGCCGCACTAGATATCATAGCACTGGTCGAAGACAATCTGTACGGTCGTGTCCTCCGCTGTGGAGGTGGCATGTTCCGTGACATTGTGACCCGCGCGGCAATACTCATCTTCTCAGAATCCAGCCCCGATCCAGAAGCGGAGAGCTCAAGTCTTGCGAAAAGAAGAGACTATGCTCGTCAGGAAACGCTTTTGCGAGATGCCCGCTGCGTGGTTCAGTATGCAAAAGAAAGATTACACTACGGAGAGACTAATGTTAAGGTTTATATCTTTTACAATATGATGCTAGCCCAAGCGGAAGCTAGGCTTAATGGTCAGTCCGAGGAGGAGGCAGTTTCAAGAACATTACATGAGAGTGTGGAGGTGTGCTACAATATGATGCAGGACATGGTAGCCGGGGCATCTATCTCCGCTGAACCTAGTACTGCATCTCTCGAAGAGAGTCTCAATAGATCGAATAACTTCGGGGAATCCTTAGACAGCGGCTTTGATTACGTCCACGACAACGACTTCAACTTGGACTTTCCCGACCTGCAACTCTTCACGGGATGGTGAATTTAGTGGCAATTTTCTGGGAGAGAAGATACTGTATTGGAAGTGATAACTAATTACTCCCCATGAAGCCCTTTGTACAAGCGAGACACGCACAGCAACGAAACAAATGCTATATAATACCACAAAATCGCCAGAGCCTCCGACTATTATCAGTTTTTGACCATGCTCGGATACTCCGGCAGCTTCCAGTCCTTGTTGCAATCTTCACGCAGAACCCATTGCGCGAGGACGTCCAGTCTCAAAAAGGATGCTATTGCAAACAGGAGGTACACGACAGTGATCCCCAACGTAGATGAAGGGAGTCTGCTCATGTAATCGTGATCGTCCAAGAGTCCCTTTTGGACATTCACCATGAAGGGCTTGAGTTTATCCTCATAACTCTTAAAAGCCTCCGCGATATCCTCCTTAGAACCAGTGCCCTTCGCACAATGTTTGCCGATCTCCCCTGCCAGAATGTAAGCACCAACCATGGCACAAGGTGTTCCCATTCCTGTCATAGCAGACGGACAATAAGCCGCATCCCCGACCAAGACAACTCGGCCCCGCGACCAGCTATCCAGATTCACCACTCCCATGCGCTCACAATAGAAATCATCCGCTTCTTCCATAGCCTGGATAATCTCCTCCGACTTCCACCCTGCATCTTGAAATACCTGTCCCATAACCTGCTTCTCCCTCTCGACATCGCCCTTGGTGCAATCCTCGAAAGGTCCCGCCTTGCAGAACATATACGCCTGTATCTTGTGCGGATCATGACGACGCATCATAATCCCACGTCCCTGCGTAGTCATATACACCGTGGCGTCGTATCCCTCTCCCTTCTTCAGCTCACTATCGATCGTGAAATACCCAGCACACACCCCAATTGAGTGAACCTGATCTTCACCTTCAAGCATCATTGACCTCGTACGGGACCCCAAACCATCTGCACCAACAACGAAATCAAACCGCTCTTTTCTCCCATCCGACAATACCACATCCACATAAGTATCCATCTGCTGCATCTCCGTCACATACATCCCAAACAAGTACTCCACGCGATCCTTCACAGAACCATGAAGCAAATTGCAAAGATCCCCCCTCATAATCTCATAATCGGTAGTGAAGCTCTGCAGTCCTTTCCCACTTCGATTGGCAGGGAAATACCCCCATCGCCTGTCGCGGTTATCAACAAGCTTCAGACCTTGTTCTGGGACGGTAACCTTGCGAAAGGCTTTCTCGAGACCCATTCGTTGTAGGACTTCAATGCCAGGACTGCGGAGGTCGACTTGAAGTCCTGTGGCTCGTAGACCAGGGTATCGCTCGATGATTGTGACGTTGTGGCCGAGTTTGGATAACCAGAAGGCGAGGGCGTTGCCGGCGATGCCTGCGCCGGAGATGAGGATTTTGAGACCGGTCATGGTTTGTATTCTCCAAGCTGATGTTGTGAGGATGATGGGAATGAAGGACGAGAAGGCATGCAGAGGTCGAAGAAGAGGCACTGGCTTCATATATATACGGTGGAACGACATCATCTTCAAGCTGTTGCTTCAGCCAGGCAGTCCGGTATATGACCGATAGGGCCGGTACGGCCGTTACGACCGAAAATCCCGTGATGTCCGAATGCCCGAATTGCCCGAGTGCTAAGACGGCATGAAATTGGGGGCCAATCGGTATTAGGGGTAATTATTCGATATCATGCTTATTGCTAAAAAATGTTGGCTGGGTTGTTCAGCAAACTCGGTGATTCGCACACACCACTTACTTATGCTTCGGCGGGGTGTCTGAAAGACCAGTATTATTCTGCAATTGCACATTAGACTGGGATATATGACGTGGTAATCGGACTTAGATATATTTCAATATGGCACATAACCACAAGGATCTTAACTGGACTGGACAGAAATCCCTCGATATGTGAATCAGATTTGAGTATTATCAGAGTATCAGTGAGAGTATCAGTGCGAGTCTTCCTACAGATGGACATACGACTGGGTTAGTGGACAACTACTACATTACACATCATATAATACACTCCTAGAGTATTTAGGTATCACCTATCCTAGACAATTACAGCATTTCAATGTTCAGAGCCGCAAGTATTACCCAAGCACAGCATTTTCATACGCCAGCCCTGACAACTTTATCTTTATCCAGGAAATGTCCCACTTCATCTACTCGTACCGAAGCTCGGGAGGTTCTCCTTCTAAGTTAGAGCAATCTGAAGACGTAACTCGTGCATTGGCAATTATATAAAAGCAAATAACCTTCTTTGTTCTAACTCCTTTCCCGTGGCGCATATAGATGGTCAGTCAGTAGTAGCCTGTATGTCTCAACAAGCAACGACACTGACATCTGCATCAACCCCTGCTCTCTCTGTAATGGTCAGCAATCTTCTCAGTGACATGTTTTCGTCTCTCATTTGCCGAGGTTGTGGACTGTGTCATCTGCTCCTCTTCACGCGGATTTGGCACTCTCATGGAGCTGGGCTCGTAAGACACTCCGCGTTTTTTACCAGAAGAATTACCCTTATTCATCATGAATTCAGCCTGGGAAGTACTGAGGTTAAGTCTGAAGGCAGCTTCGTCACGACCTGCGTTCTTGTCGCCTGAAGACATGATGGTGATTGAGTCTCGTTGCTGGATCACTAAAGCAAAATCAGTGAGCCTGAGAGATTCTGATATGACTTTGGTCTCAGGAGAATGCGGAGATAAATATGGGGATAGCAGATGAGACCGAGGAAGATTAATCTGGTATCTTTGGTAAGGATCTCTTTTCGAAGAGGATGAAGATGGTTATTTATCTTGGAGATGGAAGAGCTGTTCGAAGGCGTTTTTTTCCCATATCAAGTCCTGTTAGGATGGTGCCGATGAGTATGGTTTGCCTGGCAGTATGCCTCACGGTGGAAGATATCTACGTGCTGTGTTCAGCAAAGGAATACTCCTACGGACATCCGTATAGAGCAACTATACGATGGCAATCGCCCAGATGAAGCCATAGCCATTGTTGAATAGAGCCCGAAGTCAGAGTGAGTTGGAAGGCTATGTGATTCATCTGAGATAATGTTGATGGACATAATTCTCTTATCTCCTGGTCCTTATACTATCTAGCATTGAAGTTTCCTACCCAGGCATGTACTAGATGACAGCCGCCTAGGGTATTGAATTAGAAGGTGAATGAGTTATTATCGGGTTCTATCGTCGAAATTATGGCAGTAATAGCACTAGTAGAGATACTCTTGAAATTGGGTGTCGAAGAAGGACGGAGCTACCCTGTGATCCTTGTATTGAGTATATCGTACAACTTAAAGGATTAAGGACATGCATAAAGTATAAGGATTTACATATTCAGAAAGCTACGAACTTCAATTAAGCTTAAAAGGATAGAAAAGTAACTTGCCGGCCTCTAACCTACAGTAAACTAGTCTACGAACCCAATGAATTTCCCAGACAAAAGAAAATAGTAACAGATTTTATTAGAATAATTATTAATGACGCAAAGATCAACTCCCCGACGATAAATATCTAATCATTCAGAATACAGATCCTAAATTGAGTAGCAAAAGGACTTTTTCGTAGATAAAATCATATAAATCTGGCGGTTTAAACTCAGGGAAACCCCCCTCCCCCAAAGTTAGTCCTCAATTCAATGCCACCACTGGCGCCCTTCTACTATTGCACCATCACCTCCATTTGTGATCACGGCATCCTATCTTGTAACTCCCAGGAACCCAGTATACTCAAGCGCCAACGCTCATAGCAATAAGCCCTGGGCATATGGCTATCACCGTAGGATTTACAGCGACTTACCGATAGGGGAAAGCCTCTCAATTGGTAGTTCTGACGCTCTGTGGCTTATACTACCTCGCTTCAACAACTCGACAGATTGGCTGGATGGGGATTTTATTACGGTGTACAAAGTAGCATTTGCCAAATTGACGTCTCGTTGGTGCTGCGATACACAGGGCTTGCGGAAATCCCCTTCCTCCGAGCGTTCTCTACCCAAGGTTTAATCTTACAATTCATATCGATCATCTGAAGCACTGGCTGAGTTGTCAGCTGCATCGCCGTGGTGGCTTCTACTCGAACAATCAGAGTATTGGCCAGATGGTATTGAGGCTTGGACAGGGGTATACGAGCGTCGGTTGCACACCTTTCTCAGGGTGTTGGTCGGACGTGAACAAGCCCTCATTAGCTTCGGATGTTTGACAGAGGAGCAAATGCTCTCAGGGCCTATGCAAGGAGTTGGCAAAGTGGTGATTTCTGGGTCAGTTATGCAGCGCGAAGGAATTTTGCTTTTGATGTGATTTCCTGCCAGAAGATTGACGAGTGGTTCTTCGGACCTGCTGAGTCGCTTGAAGAATTATGGAAAATGGGAGTCAAATTTATTGAAGATGAGAAGGAAAAGGATAAGATGTAAAGGAATGTGCAGAAGAAGCTAGATGATATGAATGACAGGTTTTGGCGTGGGAGCCTGATGAATAGGACACTGGTGGTTGGTCATATTCTGGAGACCTTGAGAAGCAAGGGTAACGACTCTGCATTGTTCTCATGGTTATGATGTTTCAAAGCAGCTTCAGCCCTCTACTTTCGAGCTTCTGTATAATCACTGGCAGTGGATGTTCCGGGCTAACTGCCGAAGTGATCTACATTAGCTCCCTTTAGGGGCAGTGTGCGGGAGATCTTTCATCCGCTGTACGATATGCCGACTAACCTATCCGTATTATGGGTAGCACTCTACGGTGAAACAACTATCTGACGGGTCATAAAATACCATGACGTCTGTGCAGGTGTAGGCAGCAGACTTAATTGAGAGATGCCTATGTAGCATTGAACTGCAGCAACGACACGTAACCTTCACAGCTCGAAGATGCAGCTACGCAAGGGGCTGTGTTGATTGTTTGAGGGGTACGGAGTAGTCTAACTTCTTTGCGAAAGGATCCGAGTCTCGTGATCAGCATCATGCAGTGCGGGATTGGATGTGTGAGTCTGTGATTGGCTGTTGAGCTGCAGAACGTCTCTCCCCGCTTCCGGTGGCGGGTATGGGGTAATGATAGGTTGGTGGTCTCAAAATTGAGTCGCCAGTGCAGTAGGGAGGTACGATACAGCATTTTCTTAGAAATTCCGACTCGGTCGGTAAATCCACTCATTTGTAAAAGATAAATAGCATAAGTGCAATAACCAGCTTGCTTCTCATTTCAATGCTAATCCGCGAAAACTAAACCAGCAAGTTAATGCCCGGTCAAATTCATAATCCCGAAACCACAAATCATGCCTCATCTCTTCCGGAGAGTAAATGAAACCCAAACTCCATAGGCGCCATCATTCATGAAAGCCGTAACCATATTCCACGCTAAGTGTGCCCGATTGTAATGCAATGTTGTTCCTTCCACCAAGGATGATTACTGGAGGTCGTAGACGACCAGCGCCCGTTCGATATCCTGGACTGTTTCTTTGTCGCCATAAGCATCCATCAGTGCCCGGTTCTTTCGGAGGCGTTCTTCTTCTTCACGATCGAACTGGGGCTGGCGGGCTTGGTTCTCGTAGTAGTTGGCGACTCCGAAGCCTATAGTTAATAGTTAGATGGTGAAGTGGATTTATGTATTGAAGGGTGGAAAGTACCGAGAGCTATGGCGCCCATGAGCGGGAGATACCTGTATTCATTAGCTATTATTCAATACGTCATCTGGGGAATGAAGGCACACTCACCATCTGCTAGGCTTCTTGAATGCGGGACTTAGAGTAGGTCTCTTGATGAAAGGCTGCGAGCCAGAGGGAGAAGCCGAGACGTTCATGGTTGGTAATGTTGTAGTGATGATTTGATGTTCAATTTGGTTGACTTGTCTTGATAAGTGCGAAGCGGATACTGGAGGATTCAAATGACGGCTAGACCAAGGTTTATTTATAAGATGGGGGAGTTCCCGACGATCACCTTATTTTCGGGTATGGGGAGTGGAGAGTATCCTGATTATGGCATGATCGGGAATCGTCATACGATGGATTTGCCGATCCCCCTCAACGTCACAGCATACCTGCATCATGCAGCATATTCATCAACATGATGTTGTTGCATGTGGGAATAGTAGATTGAATTAAGCATGGCTTGTGATTATTACAGCATTTCCTACTCTTGCTTGCCACTTGGCTAGGATATTGACTGGGGAGGATGAATGCGATGTCAGGCTTCACTATTTGGTAGATGAGCGATGAATAGCATCTCTGGCCTGTCTGCTATATAATCTGCTTCCGTCTATGTCTTCTCCTCTCCTCTTCTTCCTTATCATCTGCCATGCCCAGTCCAGGAATATATACTACTACCCAATTTGATGCCCTTGCGCAGTGATATAGGGCTAAACTATATATATTAAACCCAAGCGCCCGAACGGCTTAGTGGTCGCGTGCGCTGCATGGGACACTCTGATTGAATCGACCAATTACCCTGTCCCCTACTACATCATATCGACTCTCTCGGAATACGCGTTCTGACTCTCAACAATCTCTCTTAACAACAGGCTGTCATACTCCCACTTGGCGGAATCATAGATGCCTATTGAAGATGAACTTAGCCCTAGTATGTCCGGCTGGCGACAAAAATATATATAATCGGGCATTGGTGAGGCAGCAGAACAAAATCTTCGAAGAATTGCCAGCAGACATGGGGTGGTAAGCGCTTCACCTTACCATAGCCGGTCACATAACGACATCTATACTCCCAAAGGTTAGAGTTGTTATGAAAGAGTAGTACAATATGTTTCTAACTTATAGCCAGAGCAATGGAAACGGAAATCCCAGAACACCATCTAATCAACATAATATAACATCGGACACAGAGAACCTGGATTGTCATAATCTCAGCAAGACCACTATCGTCATCAACGTGATATGTTGAAATACTACCCAGCTCTGCACGAATTTCTCTTCCTCAATCAGTCAAGTTTAGGGGTTATCTATCCTTAACCCTAATACTACCTTATGGGTTGGAAATAGCTGCGAAAGGGCTTTATAAGTGTCTGAAGCGATCGTACACTCCTTGATCTCAAAGATGATCATGGCATATCTTCAACTCCCACAATTTCTTTCATTGACAGGTCTCCTTACATAACTCCCCGGTACAACGAATAGGCCCGGTGTTGGAATGACCCAAATCTTCTCAATGCCAAGTTTCCTATATCGAACACAAGCCCGGAATATGGAAATAGAGCGGTACTTCCTCGGGTGTACAACCATTCGGAAGGCTCAAAACCTGAAGAGCCACGAACGAGGACAAGGTCTTTTGGGTTACTGGCCTGGGAACGGTGAGGACACAACCCTGAGACACATACTTATATTCTCTGTTGCTAAGTGCACTATATTTTGGCGTTGCAATTCCTCTCAAGCACCCGTTCAATCACGCATGAGCCATGCATCAGAAGCCTGACAGTACTTTAAACATGGCTTAGGCTTCCGCAATACGAATATGCCTCAAAATGTATCAGAAAGAAGCAACTGTTGTCATATCACTGTGCCATGTCTGGATTGGATGCAAGTACTGTGTCCTGTCCTTCTTGATTTATAAATGTGGCAGATTGTTGCTATTTCGATACCTGGGATCCGTGGCAGAATGGAGAGCGTTCGAAGTCGAGAAGCAAGAGTGTTTCGGATAGCTGTCTGAATTCCTGCGAATGGATGGGCATGTTGACGACGGGTATGCAGAAATGGCGGGCCTCATGGCTATATAAAAGCTGCACAATGGCCAAATACAGAAGTTACGCTTTCCATCTGCCGTGCCTACGTTGACACAAGAAGAGGAGGTGTATACATCGCAAATCAGACACTTCGAATGATGTCTTGGCTTCGAAGATAATGGCAGAACCAAGAGAGCCCGAAGGAGGGGATATCTACTCGGAGAAAGAAAGAAGAGCATCTCAAGCATTGACGAACCTGGCATCTGTGTTCAAGGTACAAAGTCTTACGGAGACAGTTCATCTGCTTATATACACCGGAAACTCGGAAGCAGGCACACTAAGGAATTGATTAAAGCAGAGTACAAATGCCTACACGCTTTATTCTTCTCGCCAGCAATCTTGCCGGACCTGGATAGCTAAGTGGCAAGATTATATGATGTCTGCAAAGTTCGCCAAAAACTTAAATCGCCGGGTCGCTGTCCCACACTACATATCAAATTCTATGGGATTGTCCATTCGTCTTCCTGGCTATGTGGGCTTTGTGGGGATGGCTCCATCGAAGAACCTTCGCCAGCAGAGAGGCAGAGGGGCGGAATCACGAGGAGGTAGTTGATCATGGTCTCAATCTCATGCTATCCGGCATTTGAATGCCTGGACAGAGAATTCATTCAATCTTGAGGATATTCGGTCATCCCCAACTCCACTCGTATACTCTCTGGGAAGTAACCCAAGATCTCAGAAGACATGAGACTTCTTCCACGGTGATGTGCTCTGTGGTATACACCGTGGCACGAATTACATAGTTGTCGATGCCAGTCTCAAAGACCGAATGATGCAAATTGATAAGAAGATGGACGCGCTCGATGACCTTGACCCATCTGTCTTTGATACTGAAAATGTCCTCCCCTCCCTTGATTACCTTTACTCGCCTAGCTGCAAACTCATTATTCGTGGGCTGGAGTGTGGGGTGACAGTTGAGGATCTCATGGGTTGGCTTGAGCCATACAAACCAGTTCGTGGAGAAGTACACAATGATGATAAAGGCGTCGTGTAAGCAGTTCCTTCCCTTTATAAATAAGATGTCTCCTGCTGACTATGGGTATAAAGAAAGTTCTCCAACTGGTGCAAGAGTGGAACCGGTTCGGTAATCCGAGCGATGCATCATCAAAGGAAATGGATTCCGCCGCGGCTTACGGGTACACCTATCAAGACAGAACTCCGAATCCCACAAAGTGGAATTTGGTATACTTTATTCGTCGTTACTACAGATACAGATCAGATGAGCTCGCGTATTTGCACTACCGGAGATCTTTGACGCTTGGGACCCAATGGAGCGGAAGATAAGGGACCATTTCTGCCCAGGAAGGCCAACGTCCTGTGTTGAACGTACTCCCGTTCTGTTTGAAGGGGCGCGCCCTTACGTGGCATACTGAACTACCGGAGGTTATGCAGGATCAGATGGCTCATGAAGTAGAAGTGTGGTACGAGGAGCTAGAATGAGAATTCAAACGTCAGCCGAAGTTCAGATTCAAGAAAGCGGACGACCTTTCATTGGCCGACTACCTCGTACAGAAGGTGTCCCTCCTCCGCGCAGCCGGAAAGTCGGACGAGGAGACCTTGAAGAGCGAAGTGTGGGAGAGCCTCGATAACAATCTCGCGTACCTGGTGCAAACTCGGCATTTATTCAAGGCCTCTAAACGATCCAAGAAACTTGCAAGATAGCCTGGTTGTCCATAGGAAGTTCATTCCTAATGGATTTGGACTTCGTTGACTGGTGTGTTTAACAAAGGAAAGTCCTGGAAGAGCCCAGAAAAAGCCCTTGAAGTTATGCGCAACAGCTACTCGGCTGTTATCACATTGGCTATGAAGAGCGACTCGTTCGTTTGCCACATTACACCAGGCGAGAACAGACATGTTCTTCTTTTATAGTATACACCCATACCCCTGATTATAAAGCTTCTGGTTATCTGGACGACCGTATCCGAGAGCTAGCGAGCAAACGATCAGACTGTCCTTTACATTGTAGATGGATATGGTGACACGTCTAAGAATACCTCCGACTCTATGGCTCCTGTCTTGGGATCCTGGCCGCCAAAACGCAAGGACGAAAAAATAAAGTCATACCGTGGCGTATACCTACTATGGACAATACATTCCGAACAAGGGACTTTTCAGAGACACATCCCGTTTTGGCAAAAGTTGGACCATCGCGGCGCTGTCTACCTCATAAAGAGAGCTATACCCAGGGCCATCTTGAGCCAAAGTCATAGCCGTTGTATAGATCACAGCCGTCAATAATGCATTTCTATCTTTCTCAAATGCCAGCCGCGGCAAGGAGATGCCAATTGAAGAATCAGAGGGGGAAACCGACAGCAGACTTTGGCACAGCTTCAGACAATATATGTCTCCGGAAATACTACATCGCATATACTGCTTGCTTGCGGGAGAGTAATCGAAGAAGAACGGCACGATGAGGCGTACAAAATACCAAAGGTGTCAAAACACAGAATACGGATAGTTTATATAGGCCGTCTGTGTTTTACTACTTTTATATCTGCGGATGTGCCCAACAACGACAGTCTCTATGCAAGATGGGCTTCACCATTTACAATTCTCCAATGTCCTATGTCACTGGCAGACGAATATAACCTTGCGTTACATATAACTCACAGCACATGCAGAGCATATAATTCTCCTCGCCCTGACCTGAATAACCAAACTAAATCGCAGTCAATCAAACAGCTCCATGACCTGCGGAGCACAATTATATACACCCTCCAACCATTCCGCATCTACCATGAGGACAATGTGTCCAAATATGAAGACAACACAAGACCCAAGTCTTTCTGAGACTTCTATTCCGCAAAGGAATATCTCACGGGACATCGAATATGCCATCATTTACAACTGGTGTTCGTCTCTCATTCTATCTTGTTTCTACCGGACCAGGTTCCAATCCCGCTGTACGTCTCTCACAGACAACCTCTTATGGGTTACTATGCTATATAGTACTGGCATGTTCAGCTTCAACCTCTAGCCAAGATCAGAAAGACAGGAATGCCAGACGGAACCTTTGATGCAATATGCCAGGGTCTTCTGACTATACCGGTACTTCTACTACGGTAGAGTTC